ACTACTCAAATTTGAACTTGATCTGAGTTTTGTGGTAATAAGCATTATGTGTAAGTCTCATAACATTTGGTTGAGGCTAACTTAAGTAGAGAACAGAAACTAAAAATTCAGCAATTTTTCTATTTGTAAACATGCATAACTCTAGAACGGCTGTGTATAAGTTTTATAACATTTGGTTGAGACAAACTATAGTTAGAGAACGGAAACGAAAAATTCAGCAATTTTTGTGTTTATAAAGGGACATAACTCAAGAATGGTAAAAGTGTCGCCACTAAATTTCGTACTCAGTCTGTATTATGTAGTAATAAGCATTGTGTATAAGTTTCATAACATTTGGTTGAGGCAAACTAAAGTTAGAAAATGGAAACAAAAAATTTGTACTTATCTTAGTTTTGTAGTATTGAATATTGTGTATAGGTTTCATAATGTTTGGTTGGGGCAAACTTAAGTAACAGAATGGAAACTAAAAATTTTGCAATCTTTCGATTTATAAAGGGCCTAACTCAATAATGGTTAAAGTGACACTACCCAAATTCAACTTGATCTGTGTTTTATCAGTGGAAGTCAGAATTAAACATTGCATTGTATAAAGCATTGATTGTAGTTGATTCAACTATAATTATGGACAAAGGAAGATAACTTCAATTTTGAAAATTACTTAATATTTAGAAGAAAATAAAAATTTTGCAATTTTTCCATTTGTAAAGGGGCATAACTCTAGAACGGTTAAAGTGACGCCACCAAAATTCAAACTTGCTCTGTGTTTTGTAGTAATAAGCATTGTGTATAAGTTTCATAAAATTTGGTTAAGGCAAACTAAAATTAGAGAACGGAAACGAAAAATTCAGCATTTTTTCCATTTGTAAAGGAGCATGACTCTAGAACGATAAAAGTGACGCCACCAAAATTCAAACTTGATCTGTGTTTTGTAATAATAAGCATTGTGTATAAGTTTCATAACATTTGGTTGTGGCAAACTAAAGTTAGAGAACGGAGACGAAAAATTCAGCAACTTTTCCATTTGTAAAGGGGCATAACTCTATAACGGTAAAAGTGACGACACCAAAATTCAAACTTGATCTGTGTTTTGTGGTAATAAGCATTGTGTATAAGTTTTATAACATTTGGTTGAGGCAAACTAAAGTAAGAGAACGGAAACGATAAATTCAGCAATTTTTCCATTTGTAAAGGGACATAACTCTAGAACGGTAAAAGTGACGCCACCAATATTCAAAGTTGATCTGTGTTTTGTGGTAATAAGCACTGTGTATAAGTTTAATAGCATTTGGTTGAGGCAAACTAAAGTTAGAGACGGACAAGGGTAAAACTGAATGCCCCCTCCGCTACGGCGGGGTCATAAAAAGTGGAATAAACCATTTTGTAGTGTAAAAAATTCTTTGGATGTTTTAGATAAATTACGTGCTTTTGATGGTCCTTTTGAATCGGTTGACAGTTTTGACTTTTCCACTCTTTACACTACACTTTCACACAATCTTATCAAACAAAAGTTTTTTCTTTCTGATTAAATGGTCGTTCTATAAATCTAATTGCAAATGTATTTGCTGCAACTAATATAAAGCCTTTTTCTCAAACGAGAAAGGTAAATATGCTAGATGTACTTACTACAGCCATACATTTGTAGGACTCGGAAGTGCGATTCGGACGCTGAAGTGCGATGGTCTGCGCCGAAGTGCGATGGCCGTCTGTTCGCTGATTTGCGTCTATATGACGCGTGATAGCTAGTTTAAAATCGACTGATGTGCAATTATTATAAGCAGTATATTTGTTTCATAGTTGGTATATAAATTTGCATTTATTATTGTCTACGTATGTCATTAGTTACACTTGCATACTAAATGAGAGATTGTCCTCTTTGATTTTCTGCATGTTGACATAATTCTGCGTTAACATTCATCTAGTATACTTTGTTCCTCTCATGATATTGTCGTTTACCGTTATATTATAATAAGGAGAGTCTGTGTACCCGTATGTATTAAGAGAATGCCACGCTCCATCGTACGTAAAAAAAACTTTCGGAGATTTCGAAAAAAAATCCTCTACAGAAGGTTAACTTTCCCCTCCCCCTGATCACACCCCGTTTCTCGAAGTATCAAAGGTGTATAAGCCCTGATTAACTTAAAAACACGAAAAACTGCTTCTAACAAACAAATTGACTTCTACATCGACATGAAAAGCATTGAAAATATAGTTGCACTTTAGCGTTACCACCATAGCACTTCAGGGTTACCACCATCGCACTTCAGCGTTACCACAATCGCACTTCGGCGTAGCTATCAAGAAGATAGCGTCACAATGCCACCATCGCACTTCAGTGTGATCAAAAACGCACTTCAGCGTCAAAACATCGCACAACAGCGTGACCATCGCGGTTCAGAGCCCTACAAATTTTCTCCTTGACAATATTTATGTACGTTTCGGCAATAAAGTTTATCGACAGATTGTAGGTATTCCTATGGGCACCAATTGTGCCCCTTTAATAGCAGACTTGTTCCTGTACTGTTATGATTCACAGTTTACGGCCAAACTCAGTAAAGACTCGTCCAAAATCCATTTTTTAATTAAATTCAACAACACTTACCGTCATCTTGATGATATTTTTTCGTTAAATAATCAAGAATTCTCTAAATATACTGCCGAAATTTACACACAGCAATTACTTTAAATAAATCAAATATTAACAGCAATAAGTGTCCTTTCCTAGATTTAGATACATCAGTTTTACACCAGAAACTCTACACAAAAATTTACAACAAAAGGGATGATTTTTCTTTCCGTATGGTTAATTTTCCTTTTTTGGACGGTGATGTTCCTCTGGCACCATCTTACAGTGTTTATATATCCCAACTCGTTCGTTATGTCTGTGTCTGTAGTGACGTTTTTGTTTTCAATGATTTGGTTTGCATGTTTGAATGTACCTGTAAAAAACTTATTTCAGACGGAATAGCACATCCTATTTTTACGGTGATGTGGTTTACTGAGCCCGGAAATTTATATACGATCTGGGTCAACTTATCAATCCTTTAAATAAACTTATTCTAAAAGGTTACCAATTCAACACTGTAATTAGATCTTTGAATATTGTTTTTATTGGTATAAATATTGATTTTGTTACCAGTAAATTAAAATCATACTAATAGTTGTTATATACATATGCACTTTAATGGTACTACAATCTGTCGATCGTTTGGCATTTTGTCATGCACAAGGTCATGTTTATCTCGGACTATTAATGACGTCTTTACACTAAATCCGTTGGATGTTGGATGTGTACTGACTGATATTTAGTCTTATGATACATGATTTTTTTTATTAGTTGTTATTGGCTTTGAACTAGCTGTCAGTAACTGCAAGTACTGTCTGGTGTACTTAGTGTCCTTTTGTTGTTAGGGATGAGGGATGGATAAATACCCTGCCACGTCAGGTCTGTGTTTATGTTTAATGTTTTTCTTCTTTGTATCGATCTTGTGAGTTAAGCCATTTTCAACTGATTTTTATAGTTTGTTTTTATGTTGTGCTGTTACACCACTGTCCCAGGTTAGGGGAGGGTTGAGCGCTCACAAACATGTTTAACCCCGCCACATTCTTTATGTGCCTGTCCCAAGTCAGGAGTCTGTAGTTCAGTGGTTGTCGTTGGTTCATGTCTGTCATATTTGCTTTTCGTTAATTGTTTTGTTATTAATTAGGCCTTTAGTTTTTTCAATTGAATTGTTTCATATTTTTCATGTTGGGGCCTTTTATAACAGACTATACAGTATGGGTTTTTCTCATTGTTGAAGGCCGAATGGTTGCCTATAATTACTTACATCCACTTTATTTGAACTTTGGTGGATAGTTGTTTCATTGGCAATCATACCTCATCTCCTTATTTTTTTATGTATGATAATGAATGGTTCTTGTTCTCAAGTACCTGTGATCTGATCGACACAATTGCATGTATATTGCTGTTTAATGATTGTTGTAATGTTCAGAGTTCAATGTTTGGTAGTATTTGTGCTATTAAAGTGCAGATGAATTTAATTGATGTGATGTCTTTGTATTCAAATATAAAGCTATTTGTGCTATTCACTAAACTCCATCAAATTTCTGCGAGGTTCTTTTTTTTATCAGTGTTTTCTGGTTGGTGAAAAGTATAGTGATTGCTGTATGACCAGTGCATTGTCTAGGCGATATATTGATTGCGATGGTGGTACTTTTTTTCACTAATTGTAAGTACATGTATTTCTTAAAATGGGTACAAGTCTAATCGGCACCTATTTAATTCGTCAACAACAGAAAAGGTCAAATCGGCATCTATATAGAGTTATTTGGACATATGATTGGTGAATTTAGCACCAAATAATTTTTTTACCCTTTTCTTTCCTTTTTATTTGAAGTATGGGGAGATAAATTTTCGTTTTTTTTATAATTTTTTTTTGGCAAAACGTACAATTGCAGAGGTTAATAAAAAAAAGATATATTTCCTACATCATTAAAAAAGTCAGCGCATGTAATTAAGCAGTTAGAATACACAATAAAAAATAATCAGTTATTTCCTGTTTGAAGTTTTCTCATATTTTATTAATTATGTTTGATTGGGTATCATTTAAAAAAATTATGGTATCAATTATAAACAATAACCCGCTAGAAGCCATTACCCAAGCTATTGTTTAATTCACTTAATTTTAAGAGGATAAAACATATTTAATCATTGTAATCTAAATTTTTTTCTCTGCATTTTCTGCACAAATAAAACGTTGACACCTTGAGCGATAATATCTTAAAAATATGCAAAAAAAAAGGATTCTTCAATAATTAACTTGCAAAGCATAATATCAATCATGGGTGCCGAAATAACTACCTTGGGTGCCGAATTCACCAGATCCCTATTTGACTAGGTACCGAATTGACTATACCAGGTGCGGATTTGACCAGGTGCCGATTTAACCAGGTGCTGAAGTGACTAGAATTCCTTAAAATTAGCTAATCAAATAAAACATTCATTTTTAATACATATCATTTATTCTCACATTTAAATCATTTACAACAGTTATTTCTAGAACATTCTACTCTCATTATGTTTATTACTTAGGGTCAGTTCGATTGATTTTTATTATTTCCATTACCCGAAAAAACTCTTTCACTTCAGTTATTTAAGACATAGTTTACAGCTTTTATGAACAAACTGGATCCCTGAATCCTGTAACTGACAAGGTGCTTGTGTTTTCTTGAAATTATACAAACATCTCTGTATTCTAATGTTAACTGTTCAATATGTTTATTTTTACAATTTTTCAACTTTATTTAAGCCACAATATGGAACTTAGTAATAAGATATCAATCCCTTTGCTCAACTTAATGATGTAGATTTTATACCCAACAAATTCACAAATGACATGAAATCAAATAGTATAAAACCAAAATACTTTACATTGAAGTTAAGATAATTATTGGAATCTAGTGTATTACACCTGAATCTATTATGTAGAGATGACTTATTGGTAGGCAAACATTGGTTTTAACATTCAAGCTGCAATCAGGATAGATATGAGCTATACAAGCATCATTGTATCTTATTGCTAAAGCCAGTATGCAATCTTAAAACTACTCCACTTGCCATCTATTCAGAGTTTAAAAAAATTATAACATTTACAATTTCTTCCTTTCACATAATTTAATATCAGGATTTCAGGTGGTTAATAGAAGAAACGTGAATAATCTTAAAATATATCAACAAAATAATAGTATATATATATGGAGAATATAACAATAAAATATAATATATCTACATGGAAATAATTATGACATCTTAAAATGTATTATATTAAAAAAAATATATGACCTGATAAAAATGTCTCCTCTATTGACAGAAAACTCTGCATTACTGAGGTTTTCTGAGAATTCAAATTACTGACTTTATTCTCTGTTACAGATTCACTTTGTGTTTGCACAACAATCTGAGAATAAGATGATTATAATGCACAATGATAACATGCCCAAGCAGCACAAACAGTCTAAACCAACGTAATAAACATGTAATGGGGTGGGGGGGCGGGGAGAATGGGACCCAAATGCAGAAAGAATTTTGACTACCATAGAAAATATATGGAATACCGTATTGTAAGAAATTAAGCCTGAACATCAACCCCAATGGGCATACTCTTGACAAACAATGATAATGTAATCTTTTTTTGCAGGAGAATGGCACTCCCAGAATGGGTTGAGTATGTAATAAATCCACACAATAGTAAATGCCCCTTGCAGGATTGTTACCCTCAGTCTGATGTAAATACCCAAGTGTTCCCTCAGTGGTTAACCCAATATGAGACCATAATATACAACATACTGGCGGTACATGAGCGCATGAAAAATAGTTCTAAATGCAAATAATTAAAACAGAAACAGACAAGGTTAATGATTTTGAAGACCAGCCTGCTGTAAAATACATTAATAATAAAACAAGTTTCATCGAGTATTTACATTAAAGAAACTGTTAAATTAAATCAGTTCACACCAGCATAACAGTTCATTAAAACACTCTGTGGTCTTTGTATCAAACATGTAATATACTGTATGAAAATGAGAAATTTACAAATGAAAAGAACAAAAAATTACACATGTAAACAGTATATATAATACTGAAATCATAAAACTCCATTGAAAAGAGTACACAATAATCTCTCAGTGGAAGTAAATTTCAAAATAATATTGGGAAAATACACATTAATTTCAAAAATATAATGATATAATGTTCTCTAAGATTTGCACCACCAACTTTTTGACAAACAGCAAAAAATGGTCAATGATAAGAATCTTTTCTATTTGCCCAAGCAAATATTTTACATATTTTCAATTGGCGTGTACTGGTGATATCGTAGTAGTAGATTGTTCCCTGGCCACTAAAGCACTCATACCAAAGTGTACTTTTTTTGTCAATCTTACATGTGTCTTAATTAAGATTTGAACAAAAAAAAATAAGTATGATATTGACAAGTAATGAATCATTCACAATTCATCATTAAAAGAAATAAGAACGTTTTAAATTATAATAGAAGTGTACTAGTTTCATCCATGTGTCGTTCAGTCACACGTTATTTTTTATATTCAAATATGGTGCTTATATATACTTTTTCTTATAAAGAAACAGAATATCAAAAGCGGGCTCTCAAACTGGCTGACTGGTTAGAGACCCTTTGTTTCAAGTATATACTTTAATGCAAATGAATTGTTTCAAGTTATTGATTTAAGTTGCTACATGTTAAATTTCTACATTTTTGATGAGAAACAATTACTATCATAAACAGAATGGTTTTCCTCATTAAACTTTAATTGATAAATGATATCATAGTTTCTTTTCCTTTTTAATTTTTGTTTTTTAATCTGCAACTGTGCTAGATATTAAACTGGTAGTTCCTGACCAATGGTAAAATATAATTGTTTATATATGAAGGACAATTAAAACATAAACTGTTACTGTGATGGTATACTCAGGCATGAAATAAAATTGGATTGTAACCATATAAAAAAAGAATTAAATATAAAATAGGATACAAATGGCAAGAAATATTGTTAAAACAAAATATTATACTGTGTGAGTTCAAACACTTATCTTTTAATTCTCACCACTTCTTCCCATCAATTTTATAAAGAGAAGTCCCTTCTACCTTTGATTCTGAAGTAGTGAATGTCCTGGATGTATATCTTAAATGTTTTTGATGTCTGCTTATAATAATCTGCTTTAATACATTAAATTTCCAATGTAACCATTTTACTTTGATTAGAAAATAAAGCATCTTATAAATCAAGATATGAAATTAATATTCAGGGGGAGATCCAGCCATTTTTGAAAGGGTGGGGTTCCAACCCAGGATAAAAGGGGGTTCCAACCATATGTCCCCACTTAAAAGCATTGATCGTCAAAAAAAGGGGGGTCCAACCTCTGGAAACATCCCCCCTCCTGGATCCACCACTGTATTCAAAATATATAATTAATGTATTACAAGTATATTCAAATAATATAATGTATGTATCATATTCCAATTTCATCAACAAAAGAATTGAAATAAGTATTTTGTGTGAATTAGACCATGGAAATAGTGCCTGAAAACAGACCATTATTTCTTAATAACATTACTCATGACCTAAACTAATATATTTTTTATTTATTGCAGGGACCAGACAAGATTTACTATTGAAAAATAGCAAAATACATTTGTAAGCTTTTTCTACTTTTTGACGTAGACAAATGCATACAAGCACGTCTGCAAATAAATACTATCAACATAAAATGCTTTACTTTCGTAAAATGTTCTTCATTTGTTTATTCTGATTTTCTAAATTCAAGTTGAGTTTGTCCATCTGAGGATTAATTCTATCGTCTATTTGTTGATTCTGTCTCTCTATCTCATCCCCAAGTCCCATAGCAAGTCCTTTCAGTTTAGATATTCCATCTGACATTAGACCTTGAAAAAATAAAATGAAAATTATTTAAATAAAAAAATGATATATTACAATATTGTGTTTTTCAGAATCATATAACATGATCAATTAAAGTCATATGAAATGATTTTCTAGTGATTATAAATGTCATAGAAATTATTTAAAAATCAATGCATTTATATATACTTAACTTAAGTCCTCCGGGGGATGTATTTTACATTTATTACGAATCCATAACATATGATCAACAAAAAACATTCCATTCAGTGATTGTTGATCAAGCATTTAGACTGCTAATTAACTTACGGGTTTTGATGCAGTTAACTGATTCTGACCTTGATAAACAATCCTCACAGAATCAAGAAAAAGGTATATAATAAGTGTGATGTTTATTTGTCTTTTATTTATTTTTATTTTCATGAGTTACCATTTGTTATTCTAACTTTGTCATAATATTTGTAAAATGATTTCATGTACCCAGTATTCAAATTTTTCTTTCAGAATCAGTTGATACAAATTTTCCTTCCACAATTGTTCAATTTTGTTCCATCATTTTTTTTCATTCCCACTTGCACTGTGTGATTGGCGAATTGCAAACAAGGTGTCATGAATAAAGTCACCACATACTTGTATGGAAAGACTGTCAACAAATTGCAGTATTGGAAGACAATAATTCAATAGAAGATTTCTGAAGCTTTGGATAAAATAAAGGATTTTCTTTGAAAAAAAAGTCTAATGTACATATGTTTTGTAGTAAAAGTTAGCCAACCCCCAATTCAGTGTTTTGCTTCTAAAAAAAAAACTGGCATTCAAATGCATGAATAGAAGTGTTAGGGTACTGAATATTTGTTTTCAAAATACAACTTTAAAATTTTGACTGGTCTTCCCTCAGGTGTACCTTTCAGCTTTTGACAGACACTGGGAGTTACTAATATGATTTTTCAACTCTTACACTTACTGAAAACATCAGTGATCAGCTGTATGTATTTTTATTCTGGAATCAAATCTACTGACACATATGAGTGCTAAAAAAAAATTCTATCTATTTCTTAAAAACATTTTTTTCTTTCTTACCCAGATTTTCATCTACTTCCTTTTCTCGATGACTGTTGGTAACGGGTTGAATCATCTGTTTTCTTGAACCAGACATAAATTTTTTATCAAGATCATCATCTTCAAATGAACCAAACCCAGATGTGTCTACACGCTTTTTACTTTCATATTCATTTTTTGAATTATCCACTGTGTCTCTTAATTTACTCTGTCGTGGTTCAGGGCTACTACTAGCTTGTTGTTGATTGCCTTTTCTCCCTGACCACCAGTTCTTGACCCCACCAAATACACTTTTAATATTGTTTATATGTTTTTGTGTAGTAGTCATATCTTGATTCATCTCTGTTGTCTTTCTTTCAATATTATCTAACTGTTCACCTTGGCGCAAAAGTTCCTGGAAAATAAAATCAATACTGATCACAGTGTTTTATCCCTGAGCCTTACAGCACCATGGTAGTTATGGTACCATAATGCTATATTTTTTACCAAGTTGTTATCTGAATAGATTTTATAAGGTAACAAGACACTTTGGCAGCAAGACATTTCTGCAACTTGTTCCAAAGACAATTTGGCAATGTTTCAGCATCAGGACATTTCAGGACCATAACAAATCGGCACCTCGTTTTATATCTCTATATTTTCCTGGTATCATCAAGATCATTTAAAAAAGTTTTTAAAAAAATAATAATAAAAAATGCTTTAACAATATTGTAAAACTATAATTGTGATAGTGATATTAAAATCCTTACATTAAATATGCAATACAAAATTTTATTGTAATTAATTGTTGTTATGCATCAATCAATATTTTATGTAAGTTTATAATGAGTTTTGATAATTCCTCAAATGAAGATCAAAAGTGCACAGCTTCTGTTTGCAGCTTGGTTATCGTTTGAACCAAACAATTACAAAGACTGACCAGTGGAATACTAGCAGAAGCTTTTGATAACCATCTTGGTGTAAAACAAGGCAAACCCTTCTCTCCCTTACTTTTCTTATTCTTCATTAATGATATTGTTCAAGATATTTCCACCAATGGAGAAGAAGATGTCGTATCTTTGAATGGACTTCTTGTTTATCTGATTCTATTTGCGGAAAACACTGACTGATCTACAACACTTATTTGATAAACTTTTACTTTACTGCAATAAATGGAATATTGAGGTAAATACTGATACAACCAAAGTAATGGTATTTAGAAATGGATTTAGACCAGTAGACAATTGATTTTTCTACGATGATTATGAACTGCAAGTTGTTAATTCATATGTGTACCTTGGTGTATTATTATACTACAACGGAAAGTTTTTACATACTCAAAAACCTTTATATATATTTAGCACAAGAAGGATCTAGAGCCATGTCACCTCTAATAAACTCTCTTAAACTGTTCTATGTTACTGCAGAAGAACAGTTGTTTCTTTTCAATAGTATGGTTGGATCTGTCTTAGGCTATGAATCAGAATTATGGGGTTTTCATCGTTCTAGAGATATTAAACTTATTCATACCTGTTTTTGTAGATTTGTGTTAAAATTAGGTAAAATTGTACCAACATGTTTTTATATGGCAAACTTGGGGTCATTTACCTTTTTTTATTGTAAGAAAACAGAATATATTGAAATATTGGTTGCATAGTATTACAAACAAACCAAAGGTTGTATACGATGTTTATAAACTTTTGTATGATGATGCCAACAATGGTTATGTTAACTGGGCCGCAAATATACGTGATATTTATTTTATGATCTTGGGTTAAATTATGTATGATTATATCAAGATGCTAGCACAATCTGTCATGTCTGTATAGATGCTATTTAAGCTCTAATTAAAGACTAATACATGCAGAATTGGTCAACAACTATCCAAGAATGTTTTTATAGTAGATTGAAATTTACCTTTTGTATTAAAAAATATCTTACTTATAAAAATAATGTTTGTCGGTTAACAAAGTTATGTAGTGGAACATTTAAGTTAGATGTTTAAGTACAGTGGAATGTCCCAGGTTGATGGATAGTCCAAATAATCGTGACGTTTTAAAAGGCTATTTTAAATTTTTGCGATGACGTAGGAAGGCGTCACAGCAAAAAATTAAAATAGCCTTCCAAGACATCATAATTTTTTGGACTTCTTGATGGAATGCAGAACTATGAAGTCAAACTCAAAGACGAGGAAGATGATGTTATGGTATATGTATATGTTACCTCTCCGGTTGCAACCCCAATTCTTTCAGATTCATCTATAGATTGTAACATTCTTCGTGTGGATTCTAATTGTCTGTCTTCTGAAGCATGAATCTGTGTTAAAACTTCATTTCTTCTGTTTTCTGCGTCAGATTGAAAAGGATTTTGCGAGGATCCTGAATCATATCGTGATCCAAAATTTCCCTTCTCGTCTTCTTCTGTAAAAAACGGATTGGAGCTGTTATAACCAGCCATTTCTTTCTGTTGAGAATTGTTAAATTATGTATAATTTCTAATTTTACACCGTAAACACTGGTAAATAATCAGTGAATCATTTTTTCCTGATTGATTTATTTTTGTTTTCCACCGAAAAGAGCTCAATCTTTGGTTTAACGAATTACCAAAAAGAAAAGGAAAGAACCAAATTCGATATTGATTTGAGTCAAATCTCTGATATTATGCAAAGGATTGTACAAAGGAAGGCGTCCAATGAAGAAAAAGTCTCCATAATAATCATAAATAAATTGATAATTATATTGAAAAGATTTTCATGCCTAGAGCCAGAGGAACCGTTACTGTCAAGTTGAAACTTCATATAGTCAGAAACATATATAACGTCAAGGTACCCAAATTGCACCGAGTACCCAAATTGCACCTATTCAACATAAACAGCTGTGAAATTCTTAAAAGTTTTCTTTGAGACAAAACAATTTGTATTTTAGTTATTTGACATTTTACACGTCTTGCAAAATAGGTGAATATATTCAAATATACACTAAACGTTCACAGTTTATATCAACAGATGAAGCTTTCACTGGAAAAGAAAAGTGTACGAAAACGCCGCCATGCGACGTTCACAAAAAGTCATCTTTTAAAAATGAAAAAAAAAAATATGTTACAAGCATCCCTTTTTAAATAAATGAATAGTGAGCATGTGCTAATGCCAAATTGTTCTAAATATTTGAAAAAATAAAACAAAACATCTGTTATTTGATTTTTAATGATGTGAATTTAAGCATGGATGCAATTTGGGTACTCTTCATTACGGAATCATGGACAGTTTGGAGGTCGATTCAAACCCATTTCCTATGACTCAATAGAGATTAAAAATCAAATTGGTGTACCTATATAATAAAGAAGGATACGGCTACAAAATAAACACAGACTGAATGGAAATTTTTGTCTTTATCATAAAAGTACTTAGGTGAAAAAACTGTCAAAATAGGTGCAATTTGGGTACCGTCACGTTATATATGATAGGCCTATAACGTGACATGTGTAATATGTCTCTGATATAGTGTCATACATTTCAAACAAAAATTAAGCCAACTAGTCTGGAACCAATAGATGTTTTAGCACTGTATAATTAGCAAACCTATACATTTCTACATTCAGACCTTTTGAGACTACTATAACACATATATAGTAGTTTCAGATTTGTTCCATTGACGCATAGGTTCTTTCCATCATATATCTTATAAAGCCGGTTAATAAGATATCTTATAAAGTTATCCTATTTTAACTTTATAAGATATCGTTTAAACTATTATAAGATATCTTATCTTTTTCACTGGATATCTTTTAAACAAAAGTCATGACTGTATGAGATATCTTGTATAGTTTTATGAGATATCTTGTATAGTTTTTTGAGATATCTTTTATAGTTTTATGAGATATCTTGTATAGTTTTATGAGATATCTTTAAAAGTATTCAATTTAGCTTTATTATATATCTTATTAACTTTATACGATATATTATCACTGCTATACAAGATATCTTAGTAAACGTGATTGATTTATCAGATATCTTACTTAGTTTATTAAAAATGAAAACAACACGTTATAAAGAGGTAGGGCCAATTTCCCCTGAAATTTTTTCACAGAAGAGCCAATTTCAAAAAGTGCTGAATGAATAAAATTTACGATAAAAACACGAAATAAAAATGTTTTTTGGTCAATATCTCAATTTTTATGTATTATGTTATGTCTGGAAAATAGTTAATTTAACCTCCAAAAAAAGGATGAAAGTCAAATATGCAGAATTTACCGTGTTTTTAGGTTGGAAAAACAGAGAACCCCCCATAGAAGGACACTTCAAATCAAAACAAAGTTATGTTTTTTTGTTGTTGTTGTAATTTATACAACTTTTCCCCTCAAAAATGAAATTGGTTTAGCGTGTCCTTAAAGGGAAACTCCGCAAAAAAATGAAAAATTGATATTTTGTTCTTTAAGCATAAAAAACCACATGTTCATAAATAAAAAACTTTTATTCTCTATGAAAAGAGATCAAAATCGATTTTTGAAATTCACTATCAGTTCTCGACATATCGCCATCTTGTCGGCATGTTCGATCTAAAAAGTCACGTGATATCTATAAACCACAAAGACCAAAATGAATCAGGGATTTACCGACCGTGCGTTAAAAACTCCCATCATCAATCGGGGATTACCGTAGATGATCACCCATTGTGAAAATGTCTTATCAAGCGTACGGTTGTTCTGTCCGACAAGGTTATGACAAAAGTCTAAATTGTTTTCCCAAACCCACAAAAAAAGAAAATAGTTATGATCTATAGCAAGCACAAGTTGATGTGTGAAGACCATTTTGAACAATCTTGTTTCGAGGGAGATTTGATGGTAATTATACTTTTTTTAATAACAAAATAACCTAGCAATTCTGATAGCTATAGTTATCAAATCCTTATATGATAAGATCTCGTTGATTCAATAAAATATAGATTTTATGAGGAAGAAAAGTTTCAATTAAAAGAAAGACAAATGCAGTGTTCGCAGTGTTCTTGTAACAATCACTGATTTACAAAAGATTCATTAGTACGCCTCTTTTATATAAAGTGCATTGGTTTATATAAAGAATAGTTCCGTATTTAGTCAAGATAGTTTTTTAAATTAATAAAGTTATACGATAAATAACATTTTTAAATTATGATATTTAACGGATATTGATGGGGAGCAATGTTAGGAAGAGGTTTAAGCTAAGACAAAATATGTTGATATAGTATAATATTCCCAGGTTATAGAAATGTAAATATCGAAATATTGGACATCTCAATTTTTTATCAAAAAAGTTTCTTAACTAATCTTTTAACTATATCAAATTGATACGGGATCAATTCGGAACAGTCACTTATAAAGACACTTTACAGTTAAATGTGTGACCCTATCTGGTATGTTTGGAAAAAAATGTATATTTTTTTTTTCTTTTTAAATTTTATTTACGTTATCTTATTATATATATATATATATTTTGGCTTCATCCCGAATTGATAATAGGTATGTCAGAATTATTGATAGATGTCGTGTCAGAGCGACACATTCAGTTAGTTACCCCAAGGACGTATATTAGATACACGTCCTTGGTTATTCCAGTGACATCCTGTCGACTAAAAATTCCTATTACACAATATATTATACAGGTTCATGCATGGCTTCTTAATTGAGGTACCCGACGTGCACAGGTAACATTTATTGAACCACATATATTTGTGTTCGACGTTATTTATCTTGTGCGTGTTTGAAATTATAATTCCACCTGTTAATGAATGATGTTCTGATTATAATATTATCCACTATTTTTGCTGATAATAAGTTTAAAAATTTTATAAACATGATCTTTAAAAAAATTTGTGAAATACATATACTGTTTTGTCATGATTCTGGACCCTTCTTTTGAAAAAAAAAATCTTCACGCAAATGCAAGCTTTTGACGATTGGCAAACAAGCAGTATAAAGTAATGCAGCATTATCAAATATTTATCTATTGGCGATAAGAGAGCTCCTTCTATGTCTAATGTCCCTATCTTTATACGGATTAGAACGACAGGGGAAACAGACACTGTAAAGGAATGGAGATAGAGTGGCATAGTGAAAAAAAAATAAACCGATTAGAGAAAATTATACTACATAGAGAATGATCGACGAAAAGGGTAATAGTTATTGTAAAGGAAAAGAGATAAAGAGAGGCATAGTAAAAAAATGTTTGCTAGACAAAGTTACTGCTCGCTTTGATATTTTTATACAAAATCACGCATCGTGTTCCAAATTGGTATTCACGTGCGCTAACTTGATGTGTTAAGTTTCTGCATAGCATGGTTAAAAATAATTAAGTATCCCATTATATCGTAGTGTCACTGTGTTTCTTTGTTCAATTTATTTAGTTTGTTAATGATTATGTAAATAAGAATAAATCTGTATAAAACTTCACACCCGTTTAGTTATTGCCTGTAGGCGTTTCATTATTATGACATTTAATATATAGAATCTTTCATACATCTTAAAGTAAAAGATGTGTGTCTGAGTCAAACGGCGACATGGGAAGCCTGTATACTAGTACGACTCGAATATAGCATGTAAAAACCCTACTCAATATGGTTGTATTGGAAATCTTTTCATACAGATAGATAACTCATAGTCCGACATTTATGTAATATTTGCCACATGACGCTCATATTTCTTTCTACTATCATCATCTTATTCATAAAATATTGCTGTAAACATCGATGGTTCACACCCAAACCAAATTTGAGAAATATACCTTTAGGGCTTCTCCGTGGTATACACTTGTCACAAATATATAGACGAAATTCGTTATTGAAGTGAATCTACATCTCACAAACACAATTATTGAATTACGATTTTGAGTGAACACCCACCAAACCAATACAAAATGGCAAGATATAACCATGCAGGCATTTAGTTTTCGTCAGACACAAGATAAATAATACGCTCATATTGCTTTCTACTATCATCATCTGCTTCATCAAATATTGCTGTTAACAACGATGGTCCACACAAAAAAAAAAGGAATTATATACAATCAGAGCTTCTCAGTGGTATACACTTGTGAAATATATAGACGAATTTCGGTATTGAGAAGTGAAATTACATCTCACAAACATTATCTTTGAATTACGATTTTGAGTGAACACACACCAAACCAATAAAAACTTATAGCAAGATACATAACCATGCAGGCATTAAGTTTTCGTCGAGATAAATAATCGCTCTCATAAACGTACATGCATGCAGTTTATGATATCAAGAATAAGAGGTCGATGTCTGTAGATCATTGTTCAGTTCGTTTACTGACTGTTCAGAGTCAGACATGTCACTTATTCATTCTTGGAAGCATTCGTGTACCCCATCCGACGATAGGAACTCTTTTCCGATAGTGTTGACAACTATGCTTGTATGGTGATTCTGTTTTTCTGGGAAAGTGGTTGGCCTCCCTTGACCCAACAAACAAACGAACGATACGCTATTAGTCTGCTTTGT